AACAGATGATACCTTAATGCAAACAATTTATTTTATGTAAAGTAACTTTAAGAAAACAAATTTAATTGGTAAGAAAGCATTATTGCTGGTTTTTTATTTGTTTCGTTTTGTTTTCAGACTTACTTGATGGCTGACTTCTGCATTCTGTCTGGAGTGTTACCACATTCCAGGCAGCTCCTAAAATATTTCCCTCTCTCCCACTAGCATGCTCACGAAAGGATGAGAGGAAAAAAGCAGATAATGGTTTATTATGAAACTAGTTTTACTTGGAGGACCCTCTGAAAAGAGTTTCAGAATTCCCCATGCGTCTCTAGGCCACACTCTGAGAATCACTGGCTTGAGGTATGATAGATTAAATGCCCAGAATGTGTTTAGAATTTAACTGTGTTCCTTCTGGGTTTTTCAGCCCACTGTTTTAAGAATATCCCACCTCTTTCTTGCCTGGAGCATTTTATGGTCTCTGGGAAGCCCAAGCTGCCTATCTTGTTTGCAATCTTTGCAAGGCATTCTGGGAGAAACAAGATACACTGGCTCTGTGCTAGACAGAATAGACAGGAATACAGAATGAAGGAATACAGAATGAATTTACCTCCCAGTAACTGGTGCAGAAAGCCGCATAAGAACTTCTGGCCTTTGTGATTGGTGGGAAGCATAAGCATCAAATTCCACCCAGCCAATCAGAACCTTTCTCTGATTTTTTTCCTCTCCCTCTCTAACTTGCAGTTTCTTTTTCCCCTGCAGTAGAAGCACATTATGCTTGACCATAAAATTTTATGATGGTGCTTTAGAGTCATGCATCCTACCTTCACACTTGAACCCCACACTGTGACTCCCATCAGCCGACTTCTAATGGCATTTTATGTGACTGTCTGGGTGGGTTATGGGGTATAACTGTGACTGTGTGTGTGTGTGTGTGTGTGTGTGAGAGAGAGGGGGGGGGCTTTCACTCTGCAACCCAGGCTCTCCTGGAATTCATTATGTAGCTCAGGCTAGCCTAAAACTCAGAGCAATCCTCCTGCGTCAGTCTCACAAGTGCTATGATTACAGATATACACTACAAAGCTTGCTTCATAATGGTGCTCTTAACCCTAAGTTTCTGCCCTAAATTTTCCTGCTGAACATGTACCTCACTTTCCTCTGATAAGTCTCACCTTGGTGAACCTACCTACATGGTGATTGGGTCCCCTCCCAACCTCCCACACATTTGTCTCAATTCCTTTTCCAGGAGCTCGAGCCTTCTTAGCAACCAACAGAGTTGAACAGCTCAGGACAGCCACCACCTTGCAACCAAGCACTACGGTGGTTGCTCACACCAGTCATTCTCTGCCTGGAATTCAGTGCAACACAACCAGCATTTCTTCAACATCCGCCATACAAGTGACAGACACTATACTGAGAAGACAGAAAAGTAAAATGAGTCTTGACTCTCCAAGAATTTACACTTAGACAGGAAGGTGGCATAAGCAGTCAGGCTAACGAGAGCTAGCTAATAAGATATGTGCATCACATAGGAGTCTGGCAGCACGAATGACAGAACAACCACCCAATGCTGGCTCGTATAAAAAGGAGCATTGTTGACTCTAAGCTAGCAACCCTATCAGAGCATCAGGAACATCTTGGTGCTGCTTGTATCCATCTGTCTCCTCCACCGCAGACAGTCTGTCCTTTTCTACGCTGCTTCACACCCAACAGGCAGAGCTTCGTCTCCAGTTTTGACTTTGTCCATCCATGACAGGCACCAGCAGGAGATGGGAAGACATGTGGAAGGAAGGTGAGATATTGGCTTCTCTCAAGCCCATCCCATTTCCTCCTCACCTTCTTCCTGACTGCCTGCATTCCATGATGGCCAACAGACCTCTCTCATGGTTCAACTCTTGCCTGTCTCTAGTAACACTGCTCTCTCCCTCTGCAGGTCGAAGGATGCTGAGAGCTCCCCACTGTTGGTGGTCACTAGGTGCTTTGCTGAGCTTCCTCATTCCTTTCATCCTCTATAAATAATCCCATCATTTCTCCTTCAAATGCGCCTTCTGAGTGTTCCATCTTGTAGTACAGCCATTTCCTCTGGGTTTAATGTATGATCAACACCATCCTGAAGCAGAGACCTTTGCCCACAGTCGCGGCAACAAAATGAACATAACTAGACAGCAGAGAGCTAAATCTATGGTAATGAGGCTGTTAACATTCCCTCTTGAAGAAGCAGAGAGAGGGTCACAAAATCTTCACGAGACCTTCCCCTGAGATTCTAATCAGCACACCTTCCTGCCCCAGCTGAACATAACCAATGGCATAAAAGATAAAAACTTGACTGAGGAAGATAGGAGCTCTCTACAGTGCCACTGCTGTGAGTCACCCATGACCCTGTAAGTAAATCCAATAAACCCATTTGCTCGCTTAGCTGGACGTCACCAAATCTCTCTTTGAGCTATCATCTCCTTCCCTATTTGGAATGAATAGACTGTTCTCTCACATTTCCCCCAGGAAAATCTGGAGACACATCCTAGTATGAGCTTGATGCAGGGGCTCAATAGATGACATCAGAAACGAATTTCTTTCTCTAGGTTGTGTGGCATCTGTTGCTCTTAACAAAGTTCTCCCCTCCCCAACAAAGCAGATGCTGGCAGTGACAGCCTCCTATTTTCCCAGTGTCAAAACCAAAGGCAAGAAAGAGAGCACTGACAAAATCCAAGTCCTGTGTCTACCAGCGAGCCAGTTACAAAGACTAATGGAATTAGGGCTAGGGTTAGGGTTACGGTTTGGGTTTGGGTTAGGGTTAGGGTTTGGATTAGGGTTAGGGTTTGGGTTAGGATTTGGATTTGGATTTGGGTTTGGGTTTGGGTTTGGGTTAGGATTTGAATTTGGGTTTGCGTTAGGGTTAGGGTTTAGTGTTAGGGTTAAAGTTTAGGATTAGGGTTAAGGTTTTGAGAGTGTCTAGAATTGATAATCTCATAATAAATTGAGCCAGGACCTTCCCTGCCAGTCTGTCTTTCTGCCATTGCTCCTCTGCCAGCAGCTCTTTTAACCTCTTTAAGGCCTGGAAGTGAAACAAGAGTAACCACCATCACGCTGTTCCCCTCCTGGATGCCTGAGGAATAAGTAACACAATGAAGAGAATACAACAGGTCCTCTCCAAAAGAATGTGGAAGCTTTTATCATTTTACAACTAGAACTACTGTTGGTTCAACCCAGTGGATGTAAATTCCTTTTTCCTCCTTTTGGCATAACCACAGGACATGCCTCAAACCCAGCTCCACCCAAGACCAGGTGTCCCCCTCACCACCGGGAGGGGGGGGCTGTTTTCTTCACTCATCATACTTTAAAGGATCACCCCTCGGAGCTCTTCTCTCCATAGAAACCCAGAGAATAAATAGAAGCAGCAGGTTTTCTGCGGTTTCCACTCTTGTCTGTTTCAATTAAGTAAGCCCACACGGCTCTTCCATTAGCATGTGGGTGGAGAAGTCGGCGGTGGCACAGCGACCCTCATTCCATGGTTCACAAGGACCTGCCAATTATTTTCAGCCAATAAATCATCGCTTTGGACCAGTGTGGTTACAAGTCACCTCTGCGAGGTCCACATGAAGAGATGCAGTTGGAACAAATCTACTGTCACCTTCACATTTCTTTCAAGTGTTGAAATGAGAAATGTGTTTTTTCCAAACCCTTTTTCAAGTACTTTTTTCTTCCGGTGAGTTCTCTCCAGTGTTTCCTGTAGTAGTTCAGTAGACTGAACAGTAAGTGAATGAGAATGTTGGGCTTGAAGGAGTGCTCCCAACACAAGAAGTACACTCAGGATCCCAGGGCTGGGGAAGGAGAAGGGGCATGCCAGAGATCAACGTGCCCTTTATGGAAGCCACAAAGCCTTCCTCCGGGATGAGGCACAGGTTCCAAGTTGTTAGATCCCTGCAGATAGATACCTGCAATCTCAACATCCAAGGAGGCTGAGGGAAGAGAATCTTAAGTTCAAGGCCATGGAGGCTACATAAGGAGACCCTGTCTCAAAATAAAATAAAAATAAATTTTAAAAAGCATGCTGTCTGCTAGGAGGAAGTTAAACTGCATGGAATGCAAATGCTGGAAAATAATATGAAACCCTGGTTTGAGAGGTTTCAGAGCCTAGAGGGAAATGGGTCTGTGTTTGGATTCAGAACATTTGCATGTGAGGAAGAAGAAACCAGCGTCTTGGGGGGAATGGAGGAAGAGACAGTGCAGTTCTTTAAAAAGAATGAATTAAGCCAAGCACTGTGACATACACCTGTAGTCCCAGAAGCCAGAAGACTGAGGAGTAAGGAAAACTTAAGTCAGGTGTTCAAAACCAGCCTGAGCAATACAATGAGAACCTGTCATAAATTATTTAAAAATATATATGTAAAAGAAAAGAATGAGTCAGATATATACAAACTGTTAGGGTACAACCTCCAAAAAATGCTAAAAGAGTAAAAATCTAATACAGTTTTTCTCTAGTGCTGATGTTTGAAGGCGGGTCCTTGGGCATTCTAGGCAAGCTCCACAGGCTGTATCACTAGCCCCAATATTTTTCTAAGACAACGTCTTAGAAACTATTTAGCCCAGTCTAGCCTTGAACTCATGATCGTCCTTCCTCAGCCTCCTAAGTGCTGTGATTACAAGTGTGAGCCACTACAACCACCTTCAGTTATAACCCATGTACGGTGTCCCATTCATGTAGAAAAGGCAAGCATGCATGAAAAAATCTATATGCATGCTTGGAAATGTGTATTTTCATACGTGGAGGCAAGTCTGGGATGTTAAGCACAAACAATTAGCAATGGAGTCCTGGGAGGAAACTAGATTTGGGTTGAAGAGAAAACTCAAATCCCCCATTTAAGACACTGGCATCAGGTTCAAGCTGATAACATGAATTCTCTCCTTGGGACCCACATAGTAGAAAGAGAGAGCCAACTCTTGCTATGGCACACGTGCCCACATGCATGCACACTCCTGTGAACGTACACACAAAATAAATAAATGCACGGATGCAATGAAAGTTCCTTAAATTTTTTTTAATTGCGCAGTGTGGTCTAAAATCATGACTCAGTAAAGCACTTGCCTAAAATGTTCAAAGCCCCAGGTTTGATCCCCAATATCACATAAAAACCAGGTGTGGCCCACACATCTGAAATCCCAGCTAGGAAAGTACAGGCAGGAGGATCAGAAGTTCAAAGTCATCTTCAACTACATACAAGGCTAGCCTGGTAACATAAGACCCCATCACCCAGTCCAAAAAAAAAAAAAAAAGACCCAGTGTCTTTAAAATTCTCTTGCCTTCTTCATAAAAATTGAAAACTTGAACAGCTTTCCTTTTACAACTGACAGCAGTATCTTTTGCTCTCTGCATGAGTATGTGTGCATAGTACATGTGCACTGGGTATGCAGGCATCCTGCTAGCCGGTTCTCAGACAGCCGTCTCAATGTTCACTCACAGACTGCTGCTACCGAGGCCATAGCAGCATCTCTGCATCCTGCCTCATTCTTCCGTGGTCACATTGTCCTCAGCCACCCACCAGTATTATTTCAAGAGCCTCCCAAGTGGTCTCCTGCCTTTATCTTTTCTACCCTATGTTCCACTGCGGGGAGAATTGTCTGAAGCACAGATTCAGCCACTTGAAACTCTTCTATGACTCTTGTCTCCTTCTGTAGTAGTCCTCAACGTCAGGAAACAGCAGAATCCCCCGAGAGCTTATTTAAAATGCAGGTTTCTGGTGCCTTCTTCTAAAGCTTGAATGCAGATTTCTGTCTGTCGCTGCAGATGGTTATGATGCAAAGACAATGGAGATGGAACTTTGCCAAACCCTAATCTTATGCTAAAAGTAACCCTGGGATGTCAGCATAGCAGTCAGGGCCCATCATCTCCCCAGCTCCTGCCCCACCTCATACATTCCCAGCCTACATGCAGGCAAGGCTGTCGTTTGCCACTCCCTTGTTTTCCTCTGTGCGTATTGTCCTCCTTGTTCTAACACCATTCTTCTTCATCTGACTGATGCATGCACATTATTTGAAACAGCCCAGACACCACCTCCCCAGAACTCTTCTAAGCACTCCTAGGCTGCAGATTCCATGTCCCTGTCTTGAAATCCTGGTAAGAAAAGTACATGTCAGGCAAACCTCTTACTTCACTCCGTGGATTTTCTAGATATTGCTACTGACATCCTTACAAGACTGATTCATGTGTCATCTTCCCCAGGAAATACATAGAGACTGGAACACCAAGTGCAACCACACTGGGACCTTCAAATATGCTGCTGGTGGTTGGATGAGAAACAGCAGAGGACAACTTTACAGGTGGCAGCTCCTTGAATCTGCAGGACAAGTTGGCCAAGGGAAGACACGTATATGTGTGCCCAACCCATCCTCAACTAGAGAATGCTGCTGCTCAACACCAAGGCTGGGAATTTTCAACATCATCCCACCCCTGTGGTGGTTTGAAAGAAAATGGCCCCCAAAGGAAGTGGCACTGTTAGGAAGTGTGGCCTTGTTGGAGTAGGTGTGGTCCTGTTGGAGGAAGTGTGTCACTGTGGAGGTGGACTTTGAGGTCTCATATATGCTCAAGATATGGCCCAGTGTCCCAAACCATTCCTGTTGCCTGCAAGCCGGGATGTAGGGAACTCAGTTGCTTCTCCAAAACCATGTCTGCCTGCACACCGCCATGTTGTACCATGACGATAATGGACTAAACCTCTGAAAATGTAAATCACCCCAAGTAAAAGTTTTCCTTTACAAGAGTTGCTGTGGTTATGGTGTCTCTTCACAGCAATAGAAACCTTAACTAAGACACCCTCTTCCCCCACAAACAGCTATTGCAGCTCAATACATGGAGTAGTGGGGAATAGAAGCAGCAGTAATGGTTTACCTCTAAAAAGTCAGCAATCCACTACTACTGAGGAAAAACAAAACATTTTACCCACCCCTCTCATTAACAGGGTCTTTTACTTTCGAGGAAGATGAACTTGAGTCTGGCACCTTAGACCACTCAGCCACCCTGACACGACAACACAGCAACAGCTTACCTAAGCAAGTAGAAGCTCACGGACCCCAGTCTGACAGCTGGGGAACCAGCATAGGGCTGAACCAAGGCCCATGAACATGGGTGTCATTTGGGAGGCCTGGAAAGTCTATGGGGCCTCTGGTAGCAAAACCAGGATTTATCCCCAATTCACAAATGGGCTTTGGGAGCCCATTCCCCATGGAGGGATACTCTCTCAGCCTAGATACACAGGGGAGGGCCTAGATCCTGCCCCAAATGATGTGTCAGACTTTAATGATTCCTCATGGGAGGCCTCGTCCTCCCTGGGGAATGGATGGGGAGTGGGATGGGGGTTTGGTGGGAGGCATGGGAGGACAGGAGGGAGAGGGAACTGGGATTGGTATGTAAAATAAGACTTCTTTAATTCATATAAAAATTTATTTTTAAAAATAGGGCCTTTTGCCGGGCAGTGATGGTGCACTCCTTTAATCCCAGCACTCGGGAGGCAGAGGCAGGCGGATCTCTGTGAGTTTGAGGCCAGGCTGGACCGACAGCCTCCAAAACAATACAGAGAAACCCTGTCTCGTAAAACAAAAAAAGGGGGGGGCCTTTTGGCGCTGGAGAGATGGCTCAGTGGTTAAGAGCCTTGGCTGTTCTTCCAAAGGATCTGGGTTCAATTCCCAGCACTCACGTGGCTGCTCACAACTGTCTGTAACTCCTGTTCCAGGGGATCCAAAAATAGGGCCTTTTACTGAATGAGATTCTTATGCACCCAGGTCATTGCCATTCCATCTACTGACCCCATCCTCAGACTCTAGAAGGTAGTCACACAGCCTTCCCTGTCTAAAAGGCAAGTGCTACACTTAGAGGCAAAGAGAAAGAATCATCTCTTCCCTCTCTCCCCATTTAACGGTCCTTTGTGGAATCTCATTTCTGGAAGATTGGCACTGGCCTGTCATAGCCCTCTTCAACCCCAGGTCACCAGCCTCTGACTTTCTGCACCACTGTGTCAATGGGAGACCCACATCATGTTTCCTTCTTATCAGGATAAAAAAAGTGTAAACTTCAGCATATTAAATGCATCCGTCTTTGACTAAGACAAAAGCTTTAGAACACTTCACTTCCACTAACTCTTCCCAGCACAGCACATGCTCTGGTCATCTGGCCTGCTCATTACTCTTTACTGGTTTATTTATTCACCATTTCTTATTGCACCTCAAATCATTTTCTGAATCAGTTTCCTGAAGTATATTCTTCAAGTGCTCCTCCTTTGTTTAAGCTCACACAACTCTTTTTTGTTGTTTTGATTGAGATAGTGGGCTATAGCACAGGTTAGCCTAAAGAGATTCACTTCCTCCAACTAGGCTCCACCTCCCAAGAGTTCCACAACTTCCTGAAACAGACCCAACAGCTGGAGACAAAATATTCAGAAGCCTGAGCCTATGAGAGAACATTTTACATTCAAACCATAACAATTCATAGCCATAATATTTCTTGAATGAATGAATGAATTTCAGAGGAGTGAGTTCTCCCTCTCTTAGGACTTGATCTTTATAAGAGCAGGTTGTTACAAAGTGTCCATTCCCCTTCCCCCTTCCCCTTCCCCCTTCCCCCTTCCCCCTTCCCCCTTCCCCCTTCCCCCTTCCCCCTTCCCCCTTCCCCCTTCCCCCTTCCTTCTGTAACGACCTGTTATCCCTCTTCTCTTCCTGAGTTGATGAAGCATGAATATCTCACAAGATGTTTAACAGATATCCCACTCAAGGTCGAACTTCTAGCCTCCAGAATCACTGGCCATAATAAACCTCTTGTCTTTACAAGTTTCCCAGATTCAGGTATTCTGCTGCAGCAACAGAAAACAGACTAAGACATTGCTGTAACAAACAACCACAACCTTGGTGTACCTTTCTGTTTAGGGCTGTAGACAAACAAAAGGCAACCTTGCAGGGAATCCATTTCCTTGCCTTGTACTGATTCTGGGCATCACCGTGGTCCTTGGCTTGTGGCTCCTTTCTCCATCTCCAAAGCCAATTGATTCAAAGCAAGTTAAATGATTCTCACTCTGGATTTCCTTGACTATTTTCACATCTCTCTTCCAGTTTTAAGGACGCCTGTGAATACACTGAGGTCACACAAACAATCTGTGATAAGCTCCCTAATTTAAGATCAACTAATTAGTACCTTAATTCCAGCTACAACTAAAATCCCCTAGCACATAAGGCAACACAGTCACAGGTGCCAGAGATTAGGATGAAGACATCTGAGATGTAGGGAGCATATTCTGACTGTCACAGCATCTTTTCTGTCTCCTTTCTGCCGTGGTACCCCCTACAGTTCTCACCAAAGACTACAGTTATCCTCAGAGAACAAAATTTGCTTTTGTGCCTGTGTTTTCCTCTACCTTTGAGTCCTATTGCCACCATTGTCATAGCTCTCTGGTGCATTTCTAGTTATCTGCTGAAGTCTCACTCAAATTGCACTGCCTCTGTGAACACTGGCCTCCTCCGGATGGATCCCCAAGGCTACCGGGATGCTGCGCTTCTACAGTGCTTGACTGATGACACTCATCGCACTACGTTGTACTCACGGCAGCTGAGCCTAACCAGCCTCACTTTGTGCCCAGAACTAACTGTGTACTTTACTGGCACTGTCTCACTTACTCAAGAGAACAGCTTACAAGGCAAGTGCTAGGTCAGAAGCAGGCTCCTGCCGCAGCATCAGCAAGTACCACAGGATGTCCAGCTGGTCACGTACCCATTCTAAAAGAGTGAGTCCTCCATAACTAGTCACACCCAGTGGGTGACTCGGTTCTTAAACCAACTGTTAGAAAAATGTATTTGGTGGATATACTCCATTATGAATTAATACTAAGTAAATTCACCAACTGATAAGCATATTAACATATCTCATGGCTACAGAGCCCCATGCAATTAACAGTTCCTGAGGATGTGTCATTATTTCAGGCATAAAAAAAGAAATGAATCAAACCAGGCTCCTGCCTAAGAGGAGCTCAGGGGTCCAAAGAACAACAGACTGGAAAAAATTAGTACAATGGGCTGCTACACAGTAATAAAGCCCTTGGATATTTGCTTTATCTCATAAGCCTCGGGTTCCTCATCTTTGGGCTATGGAGTACTGACCTCATAAAGAGTCGGTGCATGTGAACAGATTAGAATTGCATCTGGCACTTGGAAAAATCTGGCCGATGCTAGCAACAAAGTGCTGTGGCAGCACAGGAGGGAACATGGGCTACAGAATGCTGTCCCAGGCATGGCCTGAAAGGATGAGGGAGGGTTCACATGGCCAGAAAATCTGAGGAAAGCGAGTCTATGCGGAGAAAACAGCCAAGACAAAGACACAAAGGTGTGAGAGATAAGGACACCATTTGTCCATCAACCCTACATCTGTTCTCTTGGGCACTCAGCTAAATATTTCCTGGCCTTCTCTCTAGTTGGCAGCATCACACACTTGAATCAATGAAATGGGCCAGAGTGACATAAGACCTGACTCCTAAAATCTCTTAAGCTCTTCTCTGTGCATTTTTGCCCCTTCACCCACTGACTGGATAACTCTGGGATGAGCCTGAACTCACTCTTAGAGATGGAGATGTGTTGGATCTTTGAGTCATCACACAGAGGAGAGAGAGCCAGGAAGGGTACCCAACCAGAAACATAACATTGGACTGAGCAAAACCAGGATACAAATGGTTGTTGCATTAAAATCCTGAAATTTCAGGATTTATTTGTTACTGTAGCACAGCCTGCTGCCACTTGCCCTAATATAGTGTGAAATCTCGTGATAAGCTTGAACAAGAACAAAATTTTCACTAAAATGTAGATGGATGAGAGAAAGGGCAAAGAAGAAAGTTGGAAATCAATTTACAAAGGTACTTAAATTCCTTACTAAAGACTTTGGACCCTGTTCTGTAGATGATGGGAACTATGAAAGGGTTTAATGAAAAGATTAGCAGAATCATGTGTACTTTTGAAAGATCACACCTGGTTCCCACATGTGTACCTAGCCATGCACACGAACACACATGTACACAAATGGGGGTGTGATATGATCATCTGGCAGAACAGGAAGGACACCCTGGGAGGAGTGTGGCTGAAAGTAGGATTCAGTTATAAATGGCCGTTAGTTAGTGAGCCCTTGGAGGTAAAGCCCATGCTGTACTCAGCTTTGTGTCTCTGGGCATAGTCCAATACATGGCCGTGTCAGACACACAGCTCAATGGGTGATGAATGTAGGGGTGGATGGGTGGGTAGATGAGAGGATGGGGGGGTTGGTGAGAAAATGGGTCGATAGGTAGATAGGCAGATAGAAGAGTGGATGGGTAGATGTACAGGGAAGCACAGGTTATTACCGTAATCCTAGTGAAATGGTAAGGGATGACCTAGGATCAAGGCAGTAGAGGTGAAAAGAAACGGACAGACTGGAAGGGTATGTGAGGAGCAGGCAAGGTTTAGTAACCAGTTGGTCAAGCGGATGATAGATTTGCAAGTAACATCAAGTCCCAGATCTTAAAGTCAGGGCCCAGAGGCATGGAAGACAAATAGTAGATGGCAGACTTGTCGCCGGCCAGCTTTCAGAAGGGCCATCTTGAGACCTGGCCTTTTGCCAGCTCCTCAACGCATATTTTCTCATAATCTCTGCAAACGGCTTTGCATCCCCCACAGAGACAAAGAAATTAAAGGAAGCAGATTTATTGATTTCCTAATACTTCCTGGCTTGTCTTTTGGGGCTATTGCCAGGTCTGTGGAAGTCTATAGTCTTCCTTTAGTTTCCCTCCTTCCTTTCTCTAAAAAGTGCAATTTCCTCCCAGATCTTTTCTTCTGTAACCCCTTGGTAGTTTTTTTGCTTTTATAATTCTGTGATTTCCCCACTAGGAAATTCCTCCCATCTGGGTAGGAATTAATGTTCTCCACCAGGGACTACTCAGCTTTTTCTATAAAGAACCAGGGAGCCACTCTTTGGGCTTTATAAGTCATGCAGACTTCCATAACTACCCAGCTTTGTTACTCTAGATAATACATCAGTGGAAAGACGTGACTGTCTGCCAATAAAACTTTATTTTAAAAATATGGACAATATCGTAAAACCAAAAAAAAATACCACATTTGGCCCCTGGGTTGTGCTTATCAACCCCTGTTCTAAATAGACACAAAGGTGTATTGGAGAAAGCAGGGAACAAGATCAGAGTAGTTTTGCTGTGTCCCCATAAACAAGAACTGTGATCTCCCTAGATTACATTATCCTTGCCTTCCTTGACATTGTGGCCATACAAGAGGGGACTGCTACTCCATCCACAAGGCAAGAACCTTCATGTCCTGTATATCCTAGAGGACATGATGTTTTACTGTGTCCACTTTACAGATGAGAAAGGCAAGTTTCATGGAAGTTAAGTCAGCAGTTCAGTGTCCATTTGCTAAGACATGACAGACCAAGAATCTGAAGATGGGCCTACTGGCTTGCAAGTTCAAACCCTTTCCAGTGTATCACACTGTCTCCAAAGGAGAGCCATCTTGAAGGAAAATTCAGTGGACCAGCTCCATGCAGAGAGTCCCTAGGCCTTGTTGCCACAACCCTGGAGCCTTATCCTTAAAAATCACAGGCCCAAGAGTTGATTGATAGATCACTTTGGAATAGACTCCCATTAACCAAGTCCAAAGGAACTCATTATACATGAATGCCAAAGTGACTATTTCTCAGACAGCTGACTGGATTTGCCTTGATATGACTGCCTCCATATTGAGTAGGTCCCCCGTGAATACCCAGGAACAACACTAGCTAGTTTACTTCCAGTTTCTCTACAAACCATAAATAAATGAAACAGAGCAGTACATAGTCCCTGACTCTGAGTATGTGCCTAATTCTTTGTTCTGAGCTTAAAGCCAACCAAGGATTAAGGATTAAGCATGCTCCCACTTTCTAGGCCAAATCACTAATCTAGATGCTACCCAGAACCAGGCTTCCATCAGTAAATGATTCAACAACTGACACTCTGTCCAGTGCTAAATCTATCTGTCTCCTGGCACCATGAGGCCAGTCCTACACCAAGACTGAGTTCTAAAATAGAAGAAAAATATTCTTTACATAACTAGAATATTCCCAATGTCAAGACACATAAAAGTCAAATTAAAATCTCAGTGAGTGTGAATTTACAGCCAGGAAGTCAAGGTGAGGCCTAGATCGTGGTTTATCTCTAGATACAGGACCTAGAATTCTCATGGCTCTAAATTCGAATCTTAATGGCAAGGACACTGCAATAAAGAGTGATTTTCTATTCTCTCTCTTCTCTCTCTCTCTCTCTCTCTCTCTCTCTCTCTCTCTCTCTCTCTCTCTCTGGTTTCTCCATTTTTCCTAAAATTGGTATTAAGTGCCTCTTTTTAAATAATTTGCTCTTTTTTTTCTTTAACAAATGTTTATCTGATTCCAAATTCAGGTTCACTCCTAAAAATTTCAAAAAATAAATATCATTTTAAAAAATCTAAAACATTCAAAATCCTAGGCTAAGCATACTGAATATTTAGAAATATAAACATCCAAGTTGTTTTTCCACATATAATAGTGCATGAACAACATAAACAAATACTGTGTGTGTGTGTGTGCGCGCGCGCGCGTGTGCATGTATATACTTTTATAAGAACGGCATTAAAGTGTGCATACGTGGTGGTCATACTAAATAATATATAGCAACTAATTTTTCATGTCACCAGATACTTTTATTTATCATTAATTAATGGTTGCATGGTGGCCTGTTGTAAGTAGTTGCCATAATTTATTTAACCCGTTCCCCTGTTGCAAGACTCATTCTCCCTTTCACTGCATTAATATCCACCAATTAGACTACAGCTTGGCTTGGAAACCATTGAGTCTCTTAGTCCCTTGGCTTATTTTTATTAGTCATGCTCCCTGCCTCCCCTATCTGAGTCCATTTTTTCCCTCACAGCATGCTGTATAGTCTAAATGAGGTGTGTGCATTACAGCCATCCCTGTGGTGCAGAACATGGTCCCCAAGGAAGGACCCATTCAGCCTGAATGTGAAGGGCCTGACAAAGAGCCTGAGATTAGCATCTAGGATGAAAGATGGAAGAGTTGTAGGGTGGGAAGTAACCTTAG